CGGCTTTTTAAGGAATCACCATACTGCTTTACACAGTGGTTGTGTCATTTGACAGCCCCACCAGCAGTGTATGAGTGTCCCAATCTCTCCACAACCTCACCAGCATTTGTTATTTTCTGTCTTGTTGAACTTAGCCATTAGTGCTGGGGTGAGATGGTAGCTCATTGTTTTGATTTGCATGTCTCTGATGACTAAAGATCGTGAGCCTTTCTTCATGTATTTGCTGGCCGCCCGAATATCCCCTTGGGTGAAGTGTCTATTCATGTCTTCTGCCCATTTTTGAATTGGATTGTTAAGTTTTTTGTTGTTGGAGTGTTGGAGTTTTCTATAAATTTTAGAGGTAAGTCCCTTGTCAGACATGTCATTGCCAAGTATTTTTTTCCCCAATCTGTAGGTTCTCTTTTGACTCTTTTGGAAGTCTTTGGAAGCACATAAAAATTTAATATTCATCTAGTTTATCTTCAGCTGTTTGTGCATTTTGGGTTATGCTTGATAGTTTATTTATGCCGTAAATTGTTGTTGTTGTTGTTATGTGCCGTCGAGTCGGCCCCGACTCATAGCGACCCCTCCTTGGGTTTCCGAGGCAGTATCACTATGGAAGTAGGATTGCCCATACTTTTTCCTTGAGGAACTTTATGGGTTTAGGTTTCCCATTTAAGTCTAATCCATCTGGAGTTGGTTTTTGTGTGTGGTGTGCGTTATGGATCTTGTTTCATGTTTCTGCAAATGGTTCTCCAGTTTTGCCAGCACCATTTGTTAAAGAGACCACCTCTTGCCTATTAAATGGATTTCAGCCCTTTGTCAAAGATCAGCTGACCATAGGTCGATGGATCTATTTCTGGGTTCTCAATTCTGTTCCATTGGTCTGTGTGTCTTTCGTTGTACCAATACTATGCAGTTTGGACTACCGTGGCTGTATAGTAGGTTTTGAGATCCGATAGTGTGAGACCTCCTACTTTGTTCTTCTTCTTCAATAATGCTTTGCTTATTTGAGGTCTCTCCTTTCCACATAAAATTAGTGATTGTTTTTTCCATTTCCTTAAAGAATGCTGCTGGGATCTGGATTGGGATTGCATTGAATGTATAGATTGCTTTGGGTAGTATTGACATTTTCACAATGTTCAATCTTCCTATCCACAAGCGTGGTATGTTCTTCGATTTATGTAGATCTCCTGTGGTTTCCTGAAGTAGTGTTTTTTAGTTTTCTTTGTACAGGTGTTTTGTGTCCCTAGTGAGATTTATTCCCAAGTATTTTATTTTTATGGTAGGTATTGGAAATGGTATTGATTTCCTTATTTCTTTTTCAGCAGTCTCTTTGCTGATGTAGAGGAATCCAAGTGCTTTTTGTATGTTGATCTTGTATCCTGTCATTATACTAAATCTCTCAATTAGTTCCAGTGGTTTTTTTTTTTTTTTAACTGAGTCTCTTGGATTTTCTGTGTATAGGATCATATCATCAGCAAATAGGGATAATTTGACTTCTTCCTTACCGATATGGGTACCTTCAATTTCACTTTCTTGCCTTATTGCCCTGGCTAGGACTTCCAATACAGTGTTGAATAGAAATGATGATAGAAGGCATCATTGTTTGATTCATGTTTGCAAGGTGAATGATTTCAGTCTTTCTCCACTGAGAATAATGTTGGCTGTTGGTTTTGCATATATGCTCTTTATTATGTTGAGGAATTTCTCTTCTGTTCCAATTTTGCTGAGAGTTTTGATCAGGAATGGGTGCTGGATTTTATCAAATGCCTTTTCTGCATCAATTGATATGATCATGTGGTTCTTCTCCTTTGTTTTATTTATGTGGTGGATGACGTTGATTGTTTTTCTAATGTTGAACTGTCCCTGCATACCTGATCGGAACCCCACTTGGTCATAATGAATGATTTTCTTGATCTATTGTTGCAGTCTATTTGCTAGGATTTTGTTGAAGATTTTTTCATCTATATCATGAGGGATATTGGTCTGTAGTTTTCCTTTTGAGTGATGTCTTTGGCTGGTTTTGGTATCAAGGTTATACTTGATTCATAAAATGAATCTGGGATAAATGATGTCATTTTTTAAATAAAAGTTTCCCACATTTATGTAAAGTGCTTAGCTTAGTGCTTTGTGCATAGTAGGTGCTCAGTAATTGATGCTGAATTTTGTTTATTTTATTTTTGTTTCCACTCTGTCTTTTTCTTGCAGATGGTATTCCTGTAAAGATGTTTTAAGTGCACAGCTTTGTAGTTTGAACCTCAGCAGTTATCAGCAAACTCTGCTATTTTGAAGTACTTCATTTTCAGTGTTACTTTCCTTTGATATATCTCCAAGATTTATTTGGGTACAAGCAGATTTTGGTCATTGAGGGCATGCATCAGGGCCACCTGGAGGGCTTATTAATAGACAGGTACTGGGCCCACCTGAGTTTTTCTACTGCTGTAGGTGTGAGATGTCGTTAGGGAGTTTGCCTTTTACTAACACGTTCGTAGAGGACACAGCTGCTGGTTTATGGCTTAGACTCGGAGCTACTGATCTTGCAAAGAGGAGCTCTGGTGGCACTGTGGTTAAGGCATTTGGCTGCTAGCAAAAGGCCAGTGGTTTGATCTACCCAGCTGCTCCCCGGGAGAAAAATGAGGCGATTTGCATCTGTAAAGATTTACAGTCTTGGCAGCCTTATGGGGCAGTTCTACTCTGTTCTGTAGGATTGCTCTGAGTCAAGCGTGACTTACTGTTCTTGGATTTGAATCGAGTGAAGTGACATGATTTGTAATTATTGCTGTTCTCTTAATTATACACGTGCAGTGGTGTTTACACATCAGTGTTATTGATGCTGGTGAGTTTGTTGTATGGTCTTTTTGAAGTAGTTTAGAAACATTTGGTTTGTTCCGGTGTAGTCAAGAAAAGTTTCCTGGTTACTTTTGCATTAGAGAATTTCCAAGTGAAGGTTTTCGTTTGTTTCTAATTATTCTTTATCTAAGAACAAACACACAGGCTTAATTTTTAGGGGAAAAGCATTGGTGTCTGTCTCACAAGGTGACTTTACATGTTGTAATCGATTTCTGAGCATTCCAGAATATTAGGATACTGTAGCAATTTAAACGTAGTAATAAAATGTTATCTTTTTTTTTCTGTCCCAAGAATCTGATAAAATTAAAATTTGATAGGCTAGTGGGAGTTGAATTTGGTGCTTGTGGTTCACTCGTATAAAGTAAATCTCATTCAGAATTTCACTCATATCAACATATCAATTTTACCTTTTCTTTTTAAAGCTATAGCTTATACCTTTGGGGCTGTGACGGTAGAGAGAGGTTGTACTCTCCACGTAGAAAAGGCAATCAGAAGATCTTTGTCCATGAGATTAGACTGGAATGGACTCTATTCAGTGATCACTGGATGCCTTTGTGTGCCAGGCACAATGGTGAAAATTGGCACCAAAGCACTTTGTCTTCATCTTGCACAATAAGTGGTTTCAGTGGATTGTAACTTAATATGCTCTAATTGTGTGATGGAACTACTGACAAAGTTAATGCAGTCGTAGGGTTCATTAATAGGATTATCATTGTGTGCTGAGCTGGGGAGCTCAGGTTCTGTGTCTTGTTGTTAGGCCACGTCTGGATATTCTGTTTAGTTTGGGGCTCAAGGACCAATCGGAGATGGTCCAGATGGCCATGCTTTTGGAAGGTCTGGTCATTTTTTAATATGAAGATCATTGGCAGATGGAGTGACTCACTGGGAGGGAGGAGACATGTTTTAAATGTATTACTGATCCTTTAATGGCTGCCTTCCTTGCTGTAAGATCCCCGAGGACAGGGCCCGATCCATCTTGTTCACTCTCTTCCTCAGTGCCTTGCACGGTGCCTGGTGTGTGCTCAGTAAATACTAGAATTGAGTCCATTTCGAAGGGAAGATGATGGCTACCTGCACACACTTGTCACACAGCTGGCTTGTTAATCAGATTTGTTATTTGTATCTCTACATGGAGGCACCAGGGCTATTGAACTTGGTACAACTTAGATATGTTTAGCAGTGATATTGTTAAGTTTCATGGGGTGTTTGGCTGCTGTTATTTTAAATACTCAGGTCAAGGCTGTGGGGGGATTTACTTGAAAATATACCTGCCTTGGATGGATTGTGGGCCCCAATGTTCTCAGCTATTAGCACCACTATACATTTCTGTGTTTTTGTTGAAATATTTCATTAAGAAAGCATACTGGCAACTTGTAAAGTCTTCTTCCTAAGTTAGACCTTGCCTGTCTTTGCAGATTAAAGCAAGACAAAGAACTGGACCAGGAGAGGGCCGCCGCCAACGAGCAGCTCACCAGAGCTGTCCTCCGTGAGAGGCTCAACAGTGAGCAGGAGCGCTCCAGGGCCAACCACCTGGTGAGTATGCCAGGTTCAGGGGAAGTCTCTCGCTCATAATGAAGGGAAGTGGGGACGTCCGGGACGAGCGGAGTATGCCCTGCCAATGTTTAGTGTTGCTAGTGTTCTCATTCTCTTTGCTTAGATTCTCCTGATTTGCTTTTAATAAGTAGCTGGCAGTTTGTTAAAATGAATCAACAAGGAGCTTGAAAAGTATTGAAGCACCGATGCCCACACAGAAACCACCTGCATCTCGCCTGAGGGCTATTTGTGGACTTCCTTCCCCCCTTGTTTTGAGTTTCTGGGTGTTTGAGCCACGGGGTCCAGCAGCCTCCCCTGGCTGCCCCCGCTCCCGGCGCCTGCAGGTGTCGGTCTGGGAAGGCTCCAGCCGCGGTGGGTGAGGTATCACTGTCTGGGCTTCATTCAGAAAGGGGAAGAAGTAGAACCACTAGAGAACAATCTTGTTTAAGAAAATAACTAAATACATATATTTTTTTTTTAACAGAAACTGTTTTTTGATGTCTTAAAAGAGAAGCCTCATAAACCTGTTTGAAAACTGATTACTGTAAAGAAGTAAACTGAAAAAGCACTCAGTGTTGTGCCACTCGGATATAACCATGCTTTCTGATGAACTGTGTTCCCCCTCCAGATGATTTATTTTTTCTAGGTCTGATAACATATTTTAGAAGCCCTGGTGGTACAGTGAAGGAGCTCTGGTGGCGTAGTGCCTGAGGCGTTTGACTGCTAACCAGAAGGTTGGCTGTTTAAACCCACCAGCCACTCCTCTGAAGGAAGACTGACTGGGCAATCTACTTCGGTAACGATTTATCACCTTGGAAACCCAATGGGGGTCACTATAAGCTGGTATCAACTCAATGGCAGTGAGTTTGTTTTTGTTTTTTTTTTGGTGGCGCAGTGGTTGAGTGCTCAGCTGGCCACCAAAAGGTTGGTAGTTTGAACCCATCCAGCTGCTCCCCTGGAGAAAGCTGGTGACCTGCGCCTGTAAGCGTTACAGGCTAGAAAACTCCGTGGGGCGTTTCTACTCTGTTCCGTGAGGTGATCAAGTCAGAAGTCGAGCTGAGGACACCTACCATCCACATGGCAGCAGGATTACATATTGAACAACTTGGATAACATTGTAGCATGAGCATCATCACTGTTTCCTTATATCCCTGAACATTCCTCTAAATGTCTTTGTGATGACCCAACATACTGTGCCCTCTGTATGTAACATACATCGTTAACCGCTTCCCCACTGTGCAAGGACTGGGGAGCCACACTTGTTGCAGCTTAAAGTCCTGACTGTGTGGCCCCACTTCGGCCTTCCTTGGAGCCCAGGTGTAAACTTCCCAGAACTGGTCGTGCTCACTGGGGCACTGTTGGGAACTCATTGGAGAGGTCCATGGGACCACAGAGTGGAGGCTGTTGGGTGCAGGAATGAGGGGGCTCGTCCCTCGTCCAGCAGGTAGTTGGCAGTCATTGATAGCGCACAGGGAAAGGTCACTTTCAGTTCTCCCCTGTTTTTTAACTGGGTCATTTCTTTGAGAGGCTACTCTATGACTAGATGCAACTAGAGAAAGGAGATGAGTGTGTGATGAATCCACATCTTCAGTGACTGATCTGGTTCGCAGGCTGAGTGGGTGCACAGTGATGCAGGCCTGAGGTGCTGAACTATGAAAGGACATGCCCAGGGCTGGCGGGCAGCCATGGTGAGGGCTGAGCTTTTGCCCTATTGCTTCTTATTCTTCAAGCACTTTCCACTCTCGTTCTTTCTACCTTAATTTATATACATTGTCTTGTCTTATTCGTTCATGGAGACAAGAGAGATTGGAATTTAGGAAAAAACTCACTAAACACACACACATGGACGTGACAAGGCATAGCAAGAAGAAGGGTTAACACAGAAAAGGTGAAAGTTTAAAGAGACTTCTTAACCAGTGGTAACTGAAATGGTTTTGTCAAAACAGCTTATCTTCAGCCCATTTTCTCTTGTATGTAAGATATCATACCTGTTGCCCTTCAATATTTTTTTTTGAGAAGGTTAAGCATAATTGGCATTGTGGATTCTGTTTTATAGATCTCTTTACCAATCCTGGAGTTGTGTAATGTAGGTTCACTACTCATCTGTCAGTTTGTCATACTGTGGTGGCTTAGTATAATGAAAAGTACAAAGACCATACGTTAGAAAATCAAGAGCAGAACACACTTTGCATTTCTCAAGCTGAAAGAACTGAAGAAAAAGATGTAAGCCTCGAGGTGCAATATTCAAAGATTCTATGGGAAAAATATCACAAGGAAGTATCAAAGAAGATGAAAGGAGTACACAGTCACTGTACCAGAAAGGATTGGTCAGTGTTCGGCCATTTAAGGAGGCAGCATGTGATCAAGAGCCAGTGGTGCAGGAAAATGTCCAGGCTGCAGCAGAGGAATTGGTGAAAAACAAGGATGGGAAGAAAACTCATTAACAACCTGTGATACGCAGATGATACAACCTTGCTTTCTGAAAGTGAAGAAGACTTGAAGCACTTGCTGATGAAGTTCAAAGACTGCAGCCTTCAATATGGATTGCACCTCCACATAAAGAGAACAGACATCTCACAACTGGACCAATAAGCAGCACCAGGATAAATGGGGAAAGATTGAAATTGTCAACAATTTCCCTTTAACTGGATCAACAATCAACCCTTATGGAAGCAGCAGTCAAGAAATAAACAACATATTACAGCCCGCAAATCTGCTGCAGAATAACCCTTTAAATGTTGAAGAGTAAAGATGTTACTTTGAAGACTAAGTTGTACCTTACCCACAAAAAACCTCCCCCAAACCATGGTATTTTCAGTAGCTCATATGCATGTGAGAGCTGGACAGTGAATAAGGAAGATCAAAGAAGAATTGATGCCTTTGAATTGTGGTGTTGATAAAGAATGTGAAATATACCGTGGACTGCTAAAAGAGCCAATAAGTCTGTCCTGGAGGAAGTGCAGCCAGAATGCTCCTTGAAAGTGAGAATGGCCAGACTTGCTCTCACCTACTTTGGTCATGTTATCAGAAGGGACCAGTCCCCAGAGAAGGATATCATACTTGGTAAAGTGGGGGTCAGTGAAAAAGGGGAAGCCCCTCAGTGAGATGGTTTGATACAGTTGTTGCAACGATGGGCTTGAGTATAGCAGGGATTGTGAGGATGACAGAAGACTGGGCAGTGTTTCATTCTCTTGTTCACAGGGGTGGTACGTGGGGTTGCTGTGAGTCAGAGCCTATTCAGTACCAGCTAACAACAACAACTACAGCATCACAGGGTTGGCATGTCACAGTTCTCACCACTCCTGAATTTCATTGTCTTTCCTAGTACTGGAGGCCTGATGGCATAGTGGTGAAGTGCTTGGCTGCTAATTGAAAGATCAATGGTTTGAACCCACCAGCTGCTTTGTGGGAGAAAGATACAGCAATCTGCTTCTGTAAAGATTGTCGCCTTGGAACCTTGTGGGCCAGTTCTACCCTGTCCTGTGAGTTGGAATCTATTTGACCACAGTGGGTTTTATCCTAACGTTGGCCAAATGACGCCCTTAGTGCATGTAGCGGGTGAAGAAGCCTTTGTTCAGTACAGTGGTCACTGATTCAGAGCACCCCTTCCACTCAGATGCTGAGTGCTGGTGTCAGGCCAGTGCAACATGGCTGCCTGTGGCAGGGTAGGTCCCTGATGACTCCCAGTGGATTTACCTCCTTTATTGTTACTATTTTTAATTGTAGAAGAAGTTCATACTCATTGGCTAAAGATCAGAAAATAAACTTAAAAAATTAAAATCATTCAAGTTACCCAGAGATAAATACTATTGACAGTCCGGCTTATAGTTTTTATATTCATTTTCTCCTTCCATGAAGTCTTTATAAAACACTTATATTTATACATGTAAATATATTTTTCCAAACATAGGAAATAGTATACATACTTTTGTGTAACTCTTATAATCACCTTCACATTAAAAAAAAAAAGGACTTTATGGTAAATGTTTGCCAAACCATTATTTATTTATTTGTATGATCACTTATTCATAGCTGAATGTACTTCACTGAATTTTCTCCTAATTATTAAAATGATACGTGGATATTATAGAAAATTTGGAAAATTACTAAGCTAGCATCTTTGTAGCTCTGTCACATACAGTTAATGGTTAGGGCTCTGTTGTGCTTTCTGCCTTTTTTCTTTTTCTGCATATATGCCATGCTGGCTTTTAGGTTTCCCACTTCTGCACCCCACTACTTTCTAAGACGGAAGTGGAAATGTTTACAGAGTGTGGTGGTTGTTTTTGTGTCAACTTGCCCGGGCCTGGTTGAGTGGCTGGGCAGCTGGATGTAGTATTCCCCATGATGAGACTGGTAATCAACTCCATGGTGGAATCTACTGTGAGCAGCTGAGTAGCTG